AGCAAGATGTATAACTGGGACCAGTTTGTTTAATAATCTAAGGTCCAGGTTCATCATGGTACTTCCATTGCTGAGCTTGATACGTCCATTGTTGAGCTTGAGAGTGACTGATCATAGCTTTTGCTTAAGGCAATTGGGTTGGTTGGCAACATTTTGGAAATAATATTTATAACTGTAGTTTAATATAATTTCGTAGTGGTTGAATTTAGACATGTGAAACACAATTCACTTTGTTAGAAAGAAAAGTCTGGTCTCATCTGAGAGAAGAAAAATTCTCCCTAACTTTCCAGTTTCCTCTCATTTTTGTGGGGTTGAGCCGAAAGAGAGTTGAATATGAGCTCATATATGAGCTTTCTAGGGTAAATAAACTCATTACTCCGATAATTTAGCGGATCAATGCACCCTTTTTTTTTTTTTTTTTTTGGGTTGTCGCAATCAACTACAGCTAAAGCTCCATTAAAAAAAAAATTTCATGGGTTGGACCAGTGTTCTAAAAAGTAGACTAGATTGGCCAATTGGACGAATCACACAAGCGATTAGAGTCCTCTCTAGTCTAGGTTACCATTTTTAACTGTTCATAAAATCCCTAACTTGACCGCGCTGATGAATGAGGGGTTACTAAGTATCAGGGTTAGAGGAGGTTTATAGAATAAAGGTCGGTGGTTGAAGGGGTGGTGTCAGATTGAATTTTAGATGTTGGAATTAGCTAGAGTTTAGTCGAAAAATCAACCCAATATGTGAGTCACGGTCGGCGAATGGGGAGCTACCAAGTGTCAAGGTTAGAGAGATTTTGTAGAGTGGAGGCCATGATTCAAGTGGTGATGTTGGATTGAATTTTGGACACCGGAATCAATTGAAATTTGGCCAAAAAAATCAACACAATATTCGAGTCACGATCGGCAAACGAGGGGCTACCAAGTGCTGGGGTTAGATGGGTTTTGTAGAGCAAAGGCCGATGGTTCAGGTGATGGTATCGGATTGAATTTTGGACGCCAAAATCAACCGAAGTTTTGCCAAAAAAATCAATCAAATCGCGAAAGTATATGCTAGTCACAACTAGCAAACGAGAGGCTACCAAGTTCTGGGGTTAGAAGAGTTTTATAGAGTAGAGAACGATGGTTTAGGTGATGGTGTCGGGTTAAATTTTGGTCGGAAAAATCAAAACCTAAACAGATCGCAAGAGTGTATTTGCAAGATTGCAAACCTATAAGAACTGATGTAGAGTTTTCAGGGGTGTGTTTGCAAGATTTCAAACTTTATGGATCACCAGAGACCGCCAGTTTAACTGATCGAACTAGTCAATCTGAGACCCAACCCCTTGGCCAGGTGACACCCTAGGTCGAGTTTAAGAACACCGGTTAGACCACTTCGTCGAGGAATATAAGGTTTGTCATCTAAGTGTCAATATCCTCATTTTTAAGATCATTAGAAGTCGAAAACAACTCAAATCAAAAGAAGATCCTAATGTTTTACTTATTAGTCTATTGACGTTATGTTATTACTGTTATCATAATATGATCCTCTGAAGAAAAATGCAAAGATCTTGTAAACCATCGACACTGTTCTATAATCTATATCAATTCTCTAGGCAATGGGAAAATTCTCCTCTAAATTAGGGATGCAAGACTATGAAAGAAATAAAATGTACAAGCTTATACAATAATTTCAAGTTCACAATCTCATGTAACAACAAAGTACTTCAACAACCAGATGCAGCAATTTTCTGCAAAGCAAGAAATTGATTTCACCATGAAAGTTTAAAATCTATCCATTAACCATGCACTTTTCAACTGTTACAAGTATTTACTTTACTAATAGATACTCAAGATCATCAGTATCTAAGAAATTATAGCAGCAAAACTTATTTCGGGAACCTAAAAAAGAGGGAAAAATTAGAAATTTGGCAGCAAAAGCCGAAAATACGCTAGTAGGCTTCATCACAAGAGAACGATCTTATATAACACTAGCGGCCAGTGTTTTCTTCTCAAAGCAGGGAACTAAGTTGTTAATCTTCAACTTAAATGGATCAGTTTGCTTTCGTGTTTTCAGGAAAAGGTATTGAAGCACAGCAATGATAATAGCCACTTTCATCAAATACAAATCTCTGTGAAAGATGAGCTTCGGGGATAATATACTCTCTCCATTCCTCAGATCCATATTGCTTGAAAATCCTCGTGCATCAAATGAACAAGCTTTCTTGTCCTACTCTTGCTGTACAATCCAGTTTAGTTTCATACATCAGTCAGAATAGAGCTAAAGAAAATAAAGAAAAACCAAAGGGTTTATAAGCCATGGAATAACAAAGAGACAAAAAAGAAACGGGCACCTTTTCCGATGCCTTGCATTCATCACAGTGGCATGCAACTGCAATTTGCGGAAACAACCAACTGTTAGTAATAATATTTTTTAGTGAAGATAAATGAACAACACAAATACACAGATAGTTAGGTAACACGGCTGTGTACTGGGCAACCAACAGAGTTCAAATTAAGCAGCAGATATCATTGTTGAAGTTTGAAAAAGAAAGAAATAAAATAAAATAGAAAAGAACAAGAACAAGAACAAGAACAAGAAGACACTTAACATAACATAAAATTACAAAAGCAAATACTTGAATGGTCCTATATTGTACCTTCAACTTCTGTGTAGCATCTTTCTCAAGCACAAGTCCAGCTTCATTAAATGCATCAATGATGACTTCTAAGAAGGTTCAGGAAATTCGAAAGACTCCACTGAATTAATAAATATGACAAAAAATTGATAAAACTAGACAATATTGTACTCTATTTTTCCACTGTGTTTCCAAGTGTAGCAGAAAAAGTAGAAGACAATGATATTGACAATTAAGAAATGACGATACGACATGCACAGAGAAGTCGACCATCATCACCATTTCTTCCACTGGAGCGTAGAGTACACGAGCTTTGGCCGAAGAACCTCTCATTAATTCCTGCACAGAGAAAGGTTGATCCCAAATAAGATATTATGCACTAATTGCATTTAAACATTAGCAGACAACCTTCACCTGTCTATGTCCCGTCAGCTCAAAGATTCAAACTCAATAACAAAACCATAAGCTGTATTTGAACTTGAAAACAATTTTACCGCCCCTTTAGTCTTACAAAGATGGGTCGATTATCCAAGGCATCCATCACTTTCAAGGAAATACTCTGACAGAAACATAAAGCATTATAACACAAGAATGCTACTATCAACCAATAGCTTATTGAAAAGAAATCTACCTTCAAAACCTCAATAGCTGCGTTAACTCGGTCCTTGTTCAACAATTTCAACATCAGCACAGTTAAGTGAAAGGTTTTTGATTTATAAACCTAAATCTGTTGACAACAATACAGCATTATTGTCAGAGTAAGAAAAGGAGAATCAAAGACTATATAAAATGCCATGGCCAATATGTTAGTGCATGGTTCCAGTGTTGTCCTCTGGAGAAGATGCCCAAAGAAATGAACTTAGTCACTTACCCTGTAGAACTTGGGGTAATATCCAACTGCTGAGGACTGAAGTCATACATGTTGTAATTCTTCTTTTTCTTCCCCCATCCTTCTCATCCCGTAATTTGGAGAACTCAGACAGGTGAGACAAGTGAAGAATGAGCACTTGTTTCATCTGGTATATTGTATTCCTTGATCCTTCACATGCACCAAACAAAAATATGGCCAATCACATGGTTTCTCATTTCAGTGCCAACATATCAGATACAATTCTTTTTGGGGCAGTATCTGCATCACTCACATTTTTCAAATTTCCCCAAAAAAAGTAACTCGAAGAGAACTATAAATTCTCAGTATTAACCATACATCTGTCCTGCATTTTAAGAAGGAAAACAGTTTAACCAGTCACCCAACGTTGCTTTCAAATGAACATCAAGATACCAGAAAGAATAGAACTAGTGATTAGCCATAATTAATCTAACCAGTTTAATTTTTGGGGCACGAGACAAACCATTAGAGTCCTCAGTCCTGTCCTGTTCCTTTTAACACCGTCTTCTAGACCCAACTGTTTGATGGTCATATTATCACCAAACATATAATAATATAAAACAGAGACCTTAAAAAGAAGGCAGACCAAACCGAGACAGTTAAAAAAAAAAAAGAGAAATGTTACAGCAACCTTCCCGTTTCAGCTGCAGCTGGTATTCTCTCTTGTAAGCTACAAATCATTGAGGCGATTTCAACAACTAATTTTACTTAACTATCAATTTCATTTGAAATGATACAAAACATTGATAATGATTGTGATAAAAAAAAAACCAGTCTACTTTTGAAGAAAGCTCCATGCTTTAACAATAATATTGAGTGATGAGCTGTGTCTAATGAATTCAAAGAAGAATCTACCCCTGTAATATTAACTCATGTTATTAGTATTGACATCTGAAGACATAGAAAGTATAACAAATCAACCATTATATTACCTGGTTTCAGAATTGTCCTCTGGAGAAGGCAAAATCTAGTTTACTGAAACAATATGCTGCATTAACTAATTGTTTGAACTTAATTGAAAACTATCTTGACCATCAGAGAATGAATACAAAGGAATGGCATCCAAGGCTTTTAGAGGCAATTGCCAACAAATTTAACTGATTATCAATGAAATACACTATTACTTACAATCTCATTCAAATGGTGAAGGATATGGTTGAGTTGAATCCTGACATGATTGGAACACAAGAAGCTCTAAATTCCATTGCTGAATGAAAGCTTGTCGTCAAGGAAAGCCAAGGGTTGTAATTCTGCTCTTAGAGACTAATCCATGGTTAACCTTGTAGATGAATGTGCATATTCCTAGCCTGCGGACAAGGGCATCTTGTTGATGGAACAAATGTGACGGAGCTGACGAATGTTTTTTGTGACGCAGAATCTTTTAGAACACATTAGGTTGTGTCCGAATTCCGCTAGAAGAGAAAATAGAAATGGATTTTATCCATTGTGCAGGTTGTATCACAGGATATCTTGGAGATAACAAGATTGATTTGAGGGTTGACCAAGACCCGCTCTGCAATACAATTACAAATTGCACTCAGAGTTCCAATCCATGAAGATTTATTGTTGAATTCTCCTGCATCCTTTCAGTAAAAGAAAAAGAGGGGGTAACAGAGTGTCATCTTGCTTTAAAATTCAACCAATATGATACAAATTGTGACATTAAGAAGCAAAAATTACTTACAGGATTAAGTTGACAGTAATGGAGAAAATCTGAATACTAATACCTTTTGCTAGTCACAACTTCTTTTTAGCAACCTTGGCTAAAAAGCAATAATCTGCATAGAACAATGCCTATATCGATAAAAACTTAATTCTCAAGACGACAAGAGCAAGAAGGAAATAGAAACGTATAGAAGCCACCAAGCAAATGTGGAAACAAAACATTAGGCACTTGTTTCTCGGAAATATTTTCTGTTTGTTGCAAGAAAAATCGGTTCTTCGTAGTTCTGTTCTTCAGGTATATTTTTCTGCTGATAAGTAACAAAGCTGTATATTGTCAGCATAATTAGCATAATAGCAAATCAATTCTGCATATAAAGAAAAACAAACATGACCAGCCAATATTTTCTGTGACATAATTTTGATTGGACATATGTAATGAAGAAAGTATAGAGAGGACTTACCAAGATAATAGCCAATTTGATCTTTGAAACAGATTCAGTTTGATTGCTTTTCTTAACTTCCAGAAACCATTCTCCATTTGTCATACTTGGTTCACTGCATCAAAACTAAAACACGCGTGCTGCATAATTGATCGGATCCATCCAACCTTAAGAGACAACCAATGGCGGAAATTTAACATTTAAAGCTTCAGAGTTCAGTTATGAAAAGTTCTTTGTTTAACTGCTTTGAATAGTCAGAAAAACAGATTTTGCAAGACATTATCTCCAGAAAAATTGAAACAGCTTAGATGAAAATCAAAACAGAGATCATACAGATAACAGAAATGAAAAGCATTACTGCAAATCCTCTTCTCTTCTCCATTATCACATTCTGCTATTCTCTATCTTGTAGACCACAATGCATTATGCCATTTTTGATAAATTTCTTTGCCCCAGTGAAAAAAATCCCAACCCTGAACACTGATTCATGATTATTATCGTTGAAATCTTAGTAATGCAAAATGGTAACTCAAAGACTATATAATCTGCCATTGACTATGATATACCTCCCATTAAGCATGTTTACAAATACAAAGGGCATAAGGGACAATAGGGTCAAAGGGTAAAGAGTGTGAGGTGCTTGCTGTTAGTTGTTAGAGAAATTGGTTACAGCCACGTGTGAAGGGAATCAAAGTTGTTAGTAGAATAGTAGTCATGAAGGTAGTATAAATAAAGTCAGTTTTGGTGAAGGGGAGGGGAGATCAAATAGTGTCATTGTGAGGTTCCCCAGCTCCTCGAATTGCTGGGATCTATCTGTTGAGTTTATCAATTGTTTTGGTTGTTCTTTGTTTTTCTCCATTAATATACTTGGTTGAGGCTTGTTTGAGGTGAACATATTCTGTTATCTTGTACTGTTTGGCTATTGTTTGTTAGCAGTGCAGGGAGTCTCATCAATGGTATTAGAGCCAAGGTTGGGGAACGGTAAAAGCTGAAATGGAGACTAGGATGGGAAATATGGAAAAAGATATGAGATCGATGAAAGAAGATTTGAGAACGATCAAAGAGTGCTTGAAGGAGATGCTAGCATGGATGAGGCGAAAGGAGGAGGAGGAAACCAAAGGAGTTAAGAGGGATGTGTCAACGGAAATAGCGGTGAAACAAAATCGAAACCAAGGGGAAGAGAACAGTGAACCCAATGCAAACCAGAACGGCAAACCCATAGTTACTGAACGAAATCGACCAGAGTCCGATGGCCGGAGAATCGAAATACCGATATTCATGGGGAAGAATCTGTACGTTTGGTTATTCAGGATAGAAAGGTATTTTAAGGTGTATCAGGTGGCTGAGAACGAGAGGTTGGCCACGGTGGCCGTTTGCATGGAGGGCGACTCGATCAATTGGTTCCAGTGGATGGAGGTGCTAGCTCCGATGACGACATGGGCCGCCTTTAAACTTGCCTTGCTTCATTGGTTCAGTGGCTCACACGAAGAAGGGTCGTACAAGATCCTAATGGGAATCCAACAGACCGATATAATGGAAGAATATCGCCGGAAGTCTGAAGCTCTATCTGCTCCATTGTGTGAAGAAAAAGAAGACATATTGTGGGCCAACTTCTTAAACGAGCTTAGACCAGAGATAAAAGCTAAAGTCAAATTGGGCCAGCCCAATTTATTAATGCAATTAATTAAGTTAGCCCAGAAAATAGAGCAGAATAATTGGGTTGCAGAAGAAATGAAGTTTGGGCTTAAGACAGCTGAATAACCAGTTGGGCTGTATGGGTTTAATGGAGGAATTATTTCAGTTGGGCTGGGTAAACAGGGAATAACACATACAATTGAGTGTGGGCTTGAGCAATTGGAGAATGGATCTGTAAGTGGACTTGGGTCAACTAGGTATGGGTCAAGGCGGGTAATTAGATCAAAAGAAATTGGATCTAGGGTTCATATACAACACAATCGCTCATTCTACAGCCCTAGAACATATCCCCTTCTCAATCAACAGCGACACTCCGTCAACCCCTCGTCGGAGCGCCGACCAAGGGAGGAGGGGCAGTCGAGCCCGGCGCCGACTTCCGGTCACCAGAGTACAAGCTAGACAGCTCTTCGAAAAATCGATTCCAACGTCTCTCAACTGCGAACGACCCCTTCTCGGCGAATGATAGAAGATGAGAAAGAATTGAGTAAGGAAGCAGAGGGCAATAAAGGAGTGGAGGAGCGGTGTGGTGTCGGGTGAAAATTTTCCATCTCCCCACCTTGAGGACAAGGTGGTTCTTCAAGGGGAGGGTATTGATAGACCTCCCATTAAGCATGTTTACAAATACAAAGGGCATAAGGGACAATAGGGTCAGAAAGGGGTAAAGAGTGTGAGGTGCTTGCTGTTAGTTGTTAGAGAAATTGGTTACAGCCACGTGTGAAGGGGAATCAAAGTTGTTAGTAGAATAGGTAGTCATGAAGGTAGTATAAATAAAGGGTCAGTTTTGGTGAAGGGGAGGGAGATCAAAATAGTGTCATTGTGGGAGGTCCCCAGCTCCTCGAATTGCTGGGATCTATCTGTTGAGTTTATCAATTGTTTTGGTTGTTCTTTGTTTTTCTCCATTAATATACTTGGTTGAGGCTGGTTTGAGGTGAACATATTCTGTTATCTTGTACTGTTTGGCTATTGTTTGTTAGCAGTGCAGGGAGTCTCATCAACATATATTACCAAGATTAATACTTTCACAAATCAAAAGCAGAGAGGATTTCTAAAGAAACCTGTTGCATGTCTGTATATTAGCATATTGAAGTTCAATTTCGAATCTATATTTCAGAAATTTGAAAATAAATTCAAAAACCATGCTGCACATTTGAGGCAATAGCACCATATACAACTTGATACTAAATGTCATCTAATTCTAGATTAGAAAAACAAAAATTGAAATAGGATGATCAATAATCACCTTTGGCTTGTGGGTTGCTGGTAGCTGCTGTCAAATTGATAATTCAATTTGTGCTTCCTTGTAGGAACGAGTATGACCATCAATTTGATGTCCTTCAGGAATAGGACATTTATGAATTATCACTGATATATCGAGTTTTGTCTTATGGAAAAGGCCACCTGGTAGTGCATTTAACTTGGTCTGGCCTACACCGTAAAGAGCAACCGGGAGCTCAGCCTCTCATGGTGGTGTCGACGGTGGCTGGAGACGGTGAAATGGTGCTGGTCATGGTGGAAAACGAATCACCGGCAGTTGGAGAAGGTGGTTTGCAGCCAAGGGAGGCTTCCAGTGGGGGTTCTCGGCGGCCGGTGGCGAAACGATGACCCGAAGGTACCGAGAGGTCGCTCTCGAGCTGGGGAGTGAGGATCGGTAGCTTGGGAGGTGCAACGTCGCCGGAAAGTGAGCGAAAACTCGCCTGGAAGCCGAAGAGTCACAATACGTAAAGTGATGAAACTCGCCGGAAAACAGTCATATCGGCGGCAAGGAAGCTTGGGGAAGGTGAGATGGCGCTAAGGGAAGATGACCCAACACTCGGGAAGCCGAACCTTCGTCGAAAAATGGAAGAAACTCGTCGGAAGATGAAAGGTCGCACGATGGAAGCCCAAACGCCGCCGGATTCCGTTAGATCTACGGTGGAGATCATGGTGGAGGATGAACCGGCACAAGGGGGAGGTCAAGATGGCCGGGAAAGGCCGGAATCCGACGAACGGTGAGGGTTTTCCGGCTGCCCTCCTGGTTTTGCGCAACTTCATTTATTTATATAGTAATCTCGGAAAAAAATTTTATCCCTGCACGATTGAAAAGTGACAAAATAAGCCTCATAGAAATATTACAGTTTAACCTCTGAACAGCATAAAAGGGACAAATTCAGCCCTGATGAATAAACCACAACCTAATATCAACTTACACTTCTCAAAAATCATTCCAAACATACAACATTTATAAGAAAACATTAGAACTTGTAAAATCTTTCCACTGGAGCGTAGAGTACACGAGCTTTGGCCGAAGAACCTCTCATTAATTCCTGCACAGAGAAAGGTTGATCCCAAATAAGATATTATGCACTGAATTAACATTCAAACATTAGCAGATTCTCAACCTTCACCTGTCTATGTCCCATCAGCTAAAAGGCTGTATTTGAACTTGAAAAACAATCTTACCAGCCCCTTTAGTCTTATAAAGATGGGTCGATTATCCAAGGCATCCATCACTTTCGAGGAAATACTCTGAGAGAAACATAGAGCATTATAACATCAAGATTCAAGAATGCTACTATCAACCAATAGCTATTTGAACAGAAATTTACCTTCAAAACCTCAATAGCTGCGTTATAACATTGATCTATCAAGAAATATTTAATTAAATCATGTTATAGCTTCACAGCACCAAAACAAAATATTTACATTGAGTTTATTTAATAAGGAAAACAATGTATTATAGTATCCATATAAGAGTAACCAAACCTCAATGAGCAATCAAAGGATTTCACAAAGCAAACTTGGTAAGAAGTTTCCAAACAAGCTGCATGATCAATCTAATGGTTGGATTACCGGAATTACAGATAAAATGATCTTTATGTAACTGGTTTTGACTGGTCTTAAACTCCCTTCTTTTCAACATCTGATACAAAATTAACATTTTTAAAAAGTAATTTTCGAAAAAACAACAATAAATAAGCTGAAGTGATTGAATATTTAAAAAGAAATTGAGAAGATAAGTTTGTACTGTTGCTTCAGACAATAATATAATTTGATTAAAAAAATGTTATCTGGTTCTTAGATTAGAAAACAAATAACAGAGCATACTGTAATTACCTTTGGTAGTGGGTTGATGTTTATTGCCTCCGTTTGACCTATTCATAATTGAATTTGATGTTAGGGATGTGAGAGATCTTGGACCAGTCTTCTCCTATTCCCTCTTTGTATCGTTCTTTCAGAATAGGACATGCAATAATCTCCAATTCCTTGAGTGTTGTCCTCTGCAGAAGGCTGTCTGGCAGTGCCTTTAATCCGTAGCAGGATTCGATTATCAAGGTAGCAAGACATGGCATGAATCTAATATGTTCTTCTCCTTCTCCCTTCTTTGCATTATCGTAAGTCCACTCTTCCCAACCTCTCATACCCAAAAATTGGAGTTGTTTCAATTTGGGGAAGAAAGCAGAGGATGAAGATGATGAAGAGGCTTCACTTTCAATTCCCCAAAATTCATCATCCACTTTTTTCACATTGTCTATCCAAGATATAGATAGTTCTTCAAGGGATGACAATTCTCCCAAAGGATGCAAATTCTTACAGTTTGAGCAAAACCTAAGACTTAAACTCTTCAGCTTGGTTAATGACGTCTTCCAAGTGGAGGGGAAAGTTCTGCCTGCGTATAAATAAATCGACAACTGCTCTAATTCTGGAGGTGGTTGTAAAGCTTCAAGGACTATTTCATAATCCTCACACGATATTCCCCTTCTTCATCAATTTTCCACGTACTTACAATTTCCGTTCTCTTATCGAATTTTAGATCCAGACTAGTAAGGTTTTTCTTATTTATGAGTGCTTCTCTCATTTTACCATCACTCACATTTGTCACATTTCCCAACCCTCTTATTTGAAGGCTCCCTTCAAGATTATTCAAATTTTTAATTTCTTCAAGCCTACATGCTCTACTATCTATTATAGCAAATTCCGATAATGTTTGGAGACCTGTTAATTTCTCAATCCCTTTTGGTATGTAAAGCAACGACAATGTCTTATTTTTTAAACGCCTCAAATTTACTAATTTTTCTATCCCACCAGGTAATTCAGTTACCATACAATGAGTAATATCTAAAGTATGCAAATTATATAATTCACACAAACTTTTAGGTAATTTTGTGATATTTGATTGCCAACTAAAATCAAGATATCTCAAATGTATCAATTTTTCTATCTCTTTTGGAATCTCTATAACTTCATGATCAGAATCTGCGGTGAACTTCAATGCCCTTAAACATGTCAATTCACATAACTTTGGAAAAACATCACTTGACAATGACTGGACATCCTGAATCACAAGACTACGTAGACTTTTGACACTATAAATGGACATGGGAAATGGAACCCCTCTGTTAAGCTTTAACATTAAATGACGAACATTTTTGTTGCAAGAGTTTATAAACGGATCATTATCACCGATATTGACTTCTATAGCAAGACATTCACCATCACTTAAAAATAGCGCAAAGTCATGCACTATATCATGCATCTTACAGTCCTTTATAACATCTTCGTATTTTGAAAATTCTTGGAAGAAAGATCGTGTTACTAAGTGGTGAAAATACTCTTCACCTATTGTCTCTAACTTTGTATCTTTTTCTAACCCCAAATAACCTTGTGCCATCCATAATTTAATTAATTCATCTTTTCTTATACGGTAATCTTTTGGAAAGATAGAACAATAAGAGAAACATTTTCTTATTGAGGATGGCAAATCGTTATAACTCAACATCAAAGGGGATAGAAGACCCTTTTCAATCTCCTCTAATTTCCACATCTCACTATATAAAACACGTTGCCATTCATCTCTACTCCTCTTAAACTGCAAAAGACTCCCAATGGTTTTTGTAGCAAGAGGTAACCCCTTACACTTCTTAACTATTTCCCTGCCAATTTCTTCTAATTTTTCACTCTCATGAGTAGGTCTTTCAGAAAGAGCTAGCCTCCTAAATAGTTCCCAATTCTCTTCATAGGACAACTCCTTAACATTGATAATATCAATTGACTTCATAATACGTGTAACCGACTCTTTACGCGTAGTAATTAAAATTTTACTTCCATGGAGACCATTTTTCAAACAATGATAGAATGGTTCCCATTTATTGTAATCTTCATTCCACACATCATCTAAAATAAGAAGAAATTTATTACCCGCAATAGAGTCATGAATACGTTGAAGAAGAGATTGTAGATCTTTTACATTAGGAGTAGAAACTTTTAGAGCTTCAATGATCACTCTAGCGATCTTGAACTCATCAAAAGGATTTGATACACACACCCATATTATTGAATTAAAATGGCTCTTTACTTCATCATTATTGTAGGCAAATTGAGCAAGAGTTGTTTTTCCAATTCCTCCCATCCCTACAAGTGAGATGGTTTGGAGGCTTTGTTCTCTACTCTCACACAATAACTTGCGTACTAAATTATTCTTCTCAACATCTCTACCACATATATCAGATACATCAATAAAAGAAGTAGTTTGCATTGGTTGATAATCAGGTCTCTCATTAGCTGGAATGACATTAAGATTATAATCACCTTTTTCTTTTGCAATAGCATCTAACTTCCTATTTATCTCTGCTATCCTAACTGCAATGTCATGACGTAAAACAACTTCTTTGAAGCCAAAGCAAGGAGAGGAAAAAAAACAACATACCTTCTTCTTAGGAGCAAGAGCATTATGAACATATCCTCCCTCAATTTTCAGTTTCATCATTTCAGTTTTCCACTCATCCAACACATCTTCCACGTCATAGCATGCGTCTTTGAGCCGATTCAGCCAAACTCTCACAGCTCTATACTTCATCTGTTTTTGGTCTGCATCAAGTAGCACAGCTTGAATGGCTTCAAGATTGTTCTTAAGCTTGTCTACTTCTTCTTCAACGTCTCCCACTAGCCTCACCTGTTCTCCTATGAAGCCAGCAGTTGGAAGTAGAATTGAATCCAGCAGCTCCAAGGCAACCGAAACAATTGCTTCAGCCATACTCAGATATGGTCAATAATCTGAAAGAGAAGAAATGGAGATTTTTGTTTCGTATGCTTTTGTGTGATGATGGTGAATGCTGCCAATGGTGAATGCTGCCATCCATTCATATACTGTCCTAAAATTTATTGCATATTGCAGAAGTCAACCAACCGCGTTTAATATTGAAATGTATTTTTCAATTTTTTTTTCCAATATATGTGAAAGTAACGTAATTGTTATCATTAATTGCGTTCAATTCTTTGCCGTCAATATTCTTTAGTTAGTTTTAACAGGATAAAGGGTAAAAGAGTTAATGTTCCTAAAGTTTTATAATTATGAAGGGTTAATACTATGACACCCCTAAAACTCATAAAATTAAAAAACTTTCACATTAAAATCCCCAAAAATTACCACACAAACGCCCTGCTATTAGTTTTTCTTGTTAAATATGAGAGTTGACCAATTTTGACTAAACACGGTTGTGAATTTACATTGATTATATTTTGAACTTGACTATTTTACCCTAAAATTGATTAACAACTCATTTTTACATTTAAAGAAAAAGTAAAATAATTAAATATTTTTTTCTTTAAATTCCTAAATAATTCTAACCCTCAACCTAAAATTACAAATATTTAAATAACAAAAAATTTAAAATACTTTAGAATTTAAAAAAATTAAGAATACTTAAAAAAAAAAAAAAAAAAACACAACTGAAAAAAAAAAAGCTAAAGTCTAAAAATTTTGTCCAAATGTCAACTTAGCAATTGGTTTTTTTTTTTTTTCTAATTTTTTTAACTTTCTAAAGTTTTGCAATTTTTTTATTCTTTTAATTTTTATGCAGATATTTCTGAATTTTTTAATTTTTCCAAATTTTTTAAGTTTACCTTTTCCCATTTTTTAGTTTCATTTTTTTTAGATTTATTAGTTTCTTTTAAAATAATATATAACAATTTTTAATATTTATATAATTTAATAATTTTTTTTTTTTTTTTTTTGGTGTCTAACATGTGAAGGAGGGGCTACGCTTGGTTGGTCTATAATAAATTATATAATTAAAACAATTCATAAAAAATAAAAAAAAAAAAAAAAAAAAAAAAAAAAAAGCCCTCAACTTAGCCCACTCACCCACATTGTCGCTCCTCTCTCTCTCACTCTCCATATCCCACAATCTTCCTCTTTGTCACCCATAGTTGCCGCCCCTCTCTCCCCTCTCTAACCCATTGCCACCACTCGTATCAAACCCCATACCCCGCAACTGCTAGTCTTCTCTCCCTCCAAACCTGGATGTCGTTGGCCCGGCCGTCTCGAAATCCCCCAACTTATAACTTAATTCCTAATAATTATACAAACTAAACTAAGAATTTCACTAAAACTCAAAAACATAAACATAGTTTGATATAATCACAAAGTACAAGTTTATATTATAATTATCTTAATTCATAAAATCAATTTAATTTTCTATCAAAATAATAATGTGGGGGAATATCAATTTGCGGACACATTATATATATATATTTGCATTGACTTAAGTCAATTTTAATTAATTCTATAATTTTATAATATATATTTGCATTGACTTAAGTCAATTTTAAATAATTCTATAACTTCATAATCTCTATAGAGTATTGATGGGCCAGCATTCAAAACCAACAATAGGCCTTCTAAAACAAAAATATCATATTGTTAAAAGCAGGCACACAATGCTGTGGTATGCTTTTACATTAAACATGAATAAATTAAATGAAGAAATATAGAGAGCAATAATCATATACCCTTCAATTGTACTGCAACAGACTTATTGAAAGTTAAAGCCATGAATAGAAAGTCCGATTAACAAAAATGAATAATTGCAATTAAAACTATGTCTGGTAATTAATTTATGGGTTCAAAGGATTTTACAGACAGAATTTAGTGAAAATTGAGAAGCTCCCTTAGCTACATAATTGCTAACAAAATTAACTAATTACCACTGAAATACACTATTACTTACAATATCACTTCAAATGGTGAAGGATATAGTTGAGTTGCATCCTGACATGATTTGAACACAAGAAGCTCCAAATTCCATTGCATGAATGAAAGCTTGTCGTCAAGGGAAAGTTAGGGTTGTAATTCTGCTGTTGGAGACATATCCATGGTTAACCTTGAAGATGAATGTGCATATTCCATAGACTGCGGACAAGGGCATCTTGTTTGATGGAACCAAATAATGACGGAGCTGATGAATGTTTTTTGTTGATGCAGAAACTGTTCAGAATACATTAGAGTTGTGTCCGAATTCTCCTAGAAGAGAAAATAAAAATGGATTTTATCCATTGTGCAGGTTGTATCACAGGATATTCTTGTAGATAACAAGATTGATTTTGAGGGTTGACCAAGACCATGCTCTGCAATACAATTACAAGTTGCACTCGGAGTTCCAATCCATGAAGATTTATTGTTGAATTCTCCTGCTTCCTTTCAATACCTGGAAAAAGAGGGGGTAACAGTGTGTCATCTTTGTTGTAACTGCTTTGAATAGTAAAAAAAAAGACTTCGCAAGACACTATCTCCAGAAAAATTGAAACAGCTTAGATGAAAAATCAAAACAAAGGTCATACAGATAACAGAAATGAAAAGCATTACTGCAAATCCTCTTCTCTTCTCCAGTTGATGACATTCTGCTATTCTCTATCTTGTAGACCTCAATGCATTATAGCCATTTTTGATAAATTTCTTTACCCCAGTGAAAAAATCCAACCCTGAAACGCTGATTCATGATTATTAGCGTTGAAATCTTGAGTAATGCAAAATGGATAACTCAAAGACTATATAATCTGCCATTGACTAATATATTACCAAGATTAATACTTTCACTAATCAAAAGCAGAGATAATTTCTAAAGAAACCTGTTGCATGTCTGTATTTTAGCATATTGAAGTTCAATTTCGAATATATATTTTAGCATATTGTCTTCTGGAATAGGCCACCTGGTTGTGTATTCAACTTGGGAGGAGCATCCAATTGCTAAAGAACATGGATATGACATAATTGAAATTTTAACTGATGAAGATGATTACTCTAAAACTTCCAGAAGACGTAACGACAAAAACAATAAAGATAAGAAAAGAGAGACTTTGAAGAAAACCAACCAAAACTCGGACAGGCAAGCAAGACGAGTGAAGGCTGTTATTGAAAATCCTCCTCTTCTACAGCTGGTCATATCCAGCCATTCTCTCAATCTCAAGAAAACCTGTTGACACTTTCATGTTTATTTTAATACTGAAAACTTAACAGTAAAGAGATTTTTATTATTATTAATTATACCTAAGATATTAGCTTACATATCATAAACATCCCCTTAGTTTTCGTTAACGAATTATTGCTATTGAGAGAGAGCATAAGAAACTTTTGATTTTCCATGGAAAAGATTTCAGTCCCAATAAATCCAAGTCACTGTATATTTGGGCCAGTGGGGATTGGGCTGAGCTTGGCAAAACATTGGAGTCCTGGACCAATACCAAGAAACTATTAATTATTAGGAGAGATTGGCCTAATCCATTATGAACTCCGACTTTTCAAATACTAAGAAATATTCTCCTAAAACTAACAACCGTTAATCAAATCTTAACTTCAAAACAACATTTTGTTATACAAAGAAGAGTGAATTACAGGAGAATCACATGTTTTTTTCTTCCTTTTGTGTGCAAGTGAATTATTTGTTCTACCCTTATACAGATTAATGTCTATTAGAATTAAGAGGGGTCTGTCTAATAGTTTAAATTATAAGATTTAAAATATTCTAAGAATAAATTATGCAATCATTCATGCCTAATTAATTAATTTTAATATTGTACAAGGATGTTATATAAGTTATGGTATCAATAATTTCACTCATCATATCTTTTCATTAATCACGGAACTAATCATACCCATTCCTCATTATTTTAAAAATGAATTAATTAATTAATTAAGTATTGAATTAATGTTTTTAGTTTGTTGGGTGTTGATGATGTTATTTAAGAAGTCATGCCCAAGGGCAGCGGGGTTGTGTGGTTCCATGCATGGATTGACCAAGGTTCTACACTAGTTTAGGATATACTTAAACTTGAATTTCTTTTCTATCTTAATTATGGTTATGGCTTGTGGTGCTTATATCATTTTCTTTAGCAACCCTGTCTAAAAGGAACAATAATACATGCATTGAACAATGCTTATTATTAATGATAATTTAATTTTTCAAGAAAAACAGAAAACAAAAAGGATATAGAAATATAGATCTAATGGAAGCTCACCAAGCAAATGTGAAAACCAGACAGCTTCATCTCACACATTTTCTTTTTGTTGCAAGAATCATTGACTATCTGCCATTGGCCAAGAGTACATATCAGTTCTTCATAGCTTTGACCTTATGTGTATTTCCTCTGTTGATCAGTAACAGATATTTAGATTATACACATAATTAGCTTTTGCAGCACATCATTTTGAAGATTAAGAAAAACAACATAGCCAGTCAAAATTTTCTGTGAACTATATTCTTTTTAATGAGAATAACTAACCAATTTGATCTTTTGGGAACATACAATTTGATTCCTTTTCCTAATCATTTAGATTGACTTCTTCTCTCCTCTATTGCAGGGCAAGAAACTGCAAAGAGAGGAGAGAAAATATTTGTTTTGGTGCTGATTATTCAAAATGTTCAATCCTTCAAGAGTACATGCATGATCATCATTACCACTTATAACGAATTTCGACAATGTTTGAAGGCCACTTAATTTTTGAATCTCTTTTGGAATGTAACTTATTGATACAGAGTTGTTTATTAAACGCCTCAAATTAACTAATTTTCCCTTCCATGAGGTAATTCCCGTAGCATACAACCACTAATATCTAAAGTGTGCAACATGTTGAAACCACAGCCAAAACACACAACAAGTAAAGCAAAAAAGTAAAGAGGGCACAATCAATTTACCCTGGTTCGTTCTCAATTACTGAGAACTACGTCCAGCATTCAAATAGAACAATTTTATTGGGTTTCAAGAATCTGAAGAATACAATGATGAAAAAGTATTGGCAACTCACTTTTTCTCTCTATTTTTCTCACACTAGGGTTTTTCCACTATAACAATATGCGTATAATAGTAACCCCAACCCCATTTGGGCTAACCCAATCTAACTTGACCCAGACCCAAATATTTACAAATCAATTCTAAGCTCAATTACTAATTAGGCTTACTGTCAAGGAGGTGCTGCCCCCTCACCCCTGCCCCCTCACCATCGAACGAGACCCCGAATGCGTCAATGTAAGCCGATAATCCGTCAAAGTCACGCAAGAACCATATCCAACACAACACACAAACTTTCAGGGTAACTTTTCCACATAATTTCTTCATACTAGCCTTGTTAGCATGACTAGTAAATTGATTCTGCATTTTTAAGGAAAAAACAGAACTTATCACACAAAGGAATGATTTGGTTTCAAATAACCATCAATAAATGAAAGAAACACATAGAGCATTGAGAGAAAGAATCATATAACTAACCTTTTGAGTCCAATGACCAATTTATTTGGTGGTGTCATCCAAAATCAAAGTAACAATGACTTGTCATTAAAATAGCTTCCTTTTTTCTCTCCTCTATGAATAGAAAGTAACATTTCTTAATTTAAAATTAGCACTTAAATAATAAAATCAGACAATTATTTTTGAGAAGTGGAGCTGTGACCTTTAAGATATATTGACAGAGATTATATAGCATATTTCAAGGTATCAATAGAAATTTATTTTGCAGGAAAGACACACAGAAAGAAAGGAAATATAAATATAGACCTGAGGAAGCTCACCAAGCAAATGTGAAAACTAGACATTGAGCACCTGAGCCTCAATGAATTTTCAGAAATTATTGAGCAATAGAATTTGGTCCTTCAATATTTTCTCTGCTGATAGGTGAAGGAGCCTTAAATTCTTGGAATAGCTAGCATGAGTAGCAAATGAATTCTGGATATTAAAAGAAGAAACAAATCAATTCTGTGATTGGAATTTAAACAAATGAAGAAACAAAACAGATCAGTGACAAGCATGACTAACCAATTTGATATGTGCAGCAGGCACACCATTTGAGCCCTTTACAGAAAATTCTCAGCATATTTAGCCTTAGTAGTAAATCAATTCTGCATATGAGGAAACACACCATCACCAGTCAAATATCCACAATATGCTTTTTTATTGAACATAAATAAATGAAAGAACTGAGGGAGAATCACCACGCACAACTATCTAATTTGGTCCTCGGGGTAGAAACAAAATTTGATTCCTTCGTTGTAACTTCCTGGCACTGTTCTCCATAATACAAAATTTAGAAAAATGTTCTGGTGTAGCTGCTTCTCAGTAGTCTGAAAATATTTTTCATTCTAAATTAAGGCTGTTATTTCCTATTCTCAACCAATGCATCCTTGATTGACCACTGAATGCTAGAAGAACACCTGACATGAAAATATATTATTTTTGAGATTACAAATGGAATTAATGATTTAATTGATCATGAGCAAATCCTTTCACTTGTCAAAAGTTTCTTTAAGCAACCTTGTCTAAGAAAAGATTGTACTTGCTTAGGACATTAATTACCTATTAGGAATTAGAATTCTGTTTCTATAAAAGGATGTAGAAATCTAGACCCGGTGGAAAACTTACTAAGCAAGTGTGAAAACTTGACATAGAGAACTTGTTTCTTCAGCCACAATTTCTCTTTTGCACAAGGTCCTAAACGAAGTTTCTACCACTGATAAGTTGGTGCTTGACAACTGCTTTGACCATAAGCAGTCCCTCTGCTAATCATTGACAAAATTTTGAAATACTAGCCTTGCCAGCATGACCAGTAAATTAATTCTGGATTTTAAAGAGAACACAACCAGTCACACAATTGAATGATTTTCTTTCAAATTAAAAATCAATAAATAGGAAGCATTGCGAGAGTGTAGCTGTGAACATTAAGAAGTACTGACAAGGGTTACATAGGATAATTTGAGATTGATTGCTCTCGGTCAATTTTGTCTCCTGTGATACAAAGGTCTGTGGATGGAAATTAATGATTATTTTATTAAGCTAAAAGAGAATAAAATATTTTAGTATCCGGTGTCATTTGATGGAGAAAGTTTATGTAAAAAGAACCTCATTTTGTCATGTTCTTGTTACACATCATCTTCTGACCTTAAATTCCTTGAAATTGCGAGACAGATAAACTTGCTTCACTGCAATAAAATCGATTTATTCAAATAATCAAGTTTCCATATCAACAACTGAAATTACATACGAGAGAGTGTACAAAAATCATGTTATAGCTTATCAGTTGTTACATACCGTAAGTTTCTTTGATTAGATTTTGCTGTCTGGCACACTCATGCCTACCATGATGCTGGACTTGTCACCACTATGCATCGTTGGATGACCACTTAATACTAAAACCACACTGTGACATGAAAAAGAAACTATTATATAGGATTAAAGATATTCTGTATGTGAAGCATAAATCCATTCCCTAATCACAAGTTCTTTTCAGCAACATTGGTGAAAAAAATGATATATACTCATAAGTTAGTGTCTATCGTCAGTAGCAATTTATTTTCAAGAAAGATAAAAAGCATGGAGGAAATGCAAATGTGAAACCTAGACATTGAGTTCTTGAGTATTTTCTCTACTGTTCAGTAACAGAGTATTATATTATCAGCATAGATAGCCTTAGTAGCAAATCAACTGCGTGTGAAGAAACACAGGATAATAAGCCAGATACTCTGTAATGGTATTTTTGATTAAACATAAACCAATGAAGAAAAAATAGAGAGAAGTTACCAAGCATTACTAATCAATTTGATCTTTGGGGCAGAAACACAATATTGTTCGTTTCTAGCAACTTCAAGTGATAATTCTCCATTTCTGAGTAAAGTCATTTAGAATGACTCCTTCCTCCTCTGGTTGGTCGCATAATCACCCTCCTTTGTATTTTAACGAAAAAAATTGCAGTGAGACAAAAAGTATTTGTTTTGGAACAGGAAGTTGAAACTTCAAATATAAAGATCCATGCCTTAATATTAACAATACCACTTAAAAGAACAGGTTGCAACCTTTAAGAAGTAAGGAGATGTTATGCTATATATTTCAAGGCTAATTGACTCTGTCAATCTTCTCCAGTATGATAAGAGCTCCTGTCATATCTCTTCTTAGAGTCTTTTGATTTCTTCAAAAATATTTAGGATACATTAAACTTGGTCACTGCATCAAAACTAAAACATGGATGTTAAATTTTCTTAATAAAAAATAAAAAGCTATTCTCTATCTTGTAGACCACAATGCATTATAGTCATTTTTATAAGTTTCTTTGCCCCAGTGAAAAAAATCGAACCCTGAAACATAGATTCATGATTATTAGCATCAAAATCTTGAGTAATGCAAAATGGATAACTCAAAGACTATATAATCTTCCATTGACCGATATATTACCAAGATTAATACTTTCACAAATCAAAAGCAGAGAGGATTTCTAGAGAAACCTGTTGCATGTCTGTAAGCTACAAATCATTGAAGGCGATTTCAACAACTAATTTTATTTAACTATCAAATTCATATGAAATGATACAAAACATTGATAATGATTGTGACAAAAAAAAACCAGCTTACTTTTGAAGAAAGCTCCATGCTCTAACAATGATAATTGAGTAATGAGCTATGTCTAATGAATTCAAAGAATGAATCTACCGCTGTAATATTTAACTCATGATTATTAGTATCTACATCTGAAGACATAGAAAGTATAAACAAATCAACCATTATATTACCTGGTTTCAGAGTTGTCCTCTGGAGAAGGCAAAATCTTGTGTTCTGAAACAATATATGCTGCATTAACTAATTGTTTGAACTTAATTGAAAACTATCTTGACCATCAGAGAATTGAATACAAAGGAAATGGCATCCAAGGCTTTTAGAGGCAATTGCCAACAAATTTAACCGATTATCAATGAAATACACTATTAGTTACAATCTCACTTCAAATGGTGAAGGGTATGATTGAGTTGCATCTTGACATGATTGGAACACAAGAAGCTCCAAATTCCATTGCATGAATGAAAGCTTGTCATCAAGGGAAAGCCAAGGGTTGTAATTCTGCTCTTGGAGACTAATCTATGGTTAACCTTGAAGATGAATGTGCATATTCCATAGCCTGCGGACAAGGGCATCTTGTTTGATGGAACAAATGAATGACGGAGTTGATGAATGTTTTTTATGATGCAGAAACTGTTCAGAACACATTAGAGTTGTGTCCGAATTCTCCTAGAAGAGAAATAGAAATGGATTTTATCCATTGTGCAGGTTGTATCACAGGATATTCTTGGAGATAACAAGATTGATTTTGAGGGTTGACCAAGACCACGCTCTGCAATACAATTACAAATTGCACTCGGAGTTCCAATCCATGCAGATTTATTGTTGAATTCTCCTGCATCCTTTCAGTACCAGAAAAAAGAGGGGGTAACAGTGTGTCATCTTGCATTAAAATTCAACCAATATGATACAAATTTTGACATTAAGAAGAAAATATTACTTACAGGATAAAAGTCGACAATAATGGAGAAAATTCTGAATAACTAATAAATCCTTTCGCTGGTCACAACTTCTTTTTAGCAACCTTGGCTAAAAAGCAATAATATCTGCATAGAACAATGCCTATTATCAATAAAAACTTAATTCTTCAAGACAGACAAGAGCAAGAAGGAAATAGAAACGTATAGAAGCTCACCAAGCAAATGTGGAAACAAAACATTAGGCACTTGTTTCATCGGAAATATTTTCTGTTTCTTGCAAGAAAAATCGGTTCTTCGTAGTTCTGTCCTTAGGTATATTTTATCTGCTAATAAGTAACAAAGCTTTATATTCTCAGCATAATTAGCATTGATGGCAAATCAATTTTGCATATAAAGAAAAAACTAATATGATAGCCAATATTTTCTGTGACATAATTTTTTATTGGACATAAGTAAATGAAGAAAGTATAGAGAGGATTTACCAAGGATAATAGCCAATTTGATCTTTGGAACAAATTCAGTTTGATTGCTTCTCTTAACTTCCAGAAACCATTCTACATTCGTAAGTAGCACCATTTAACTGAACTTATTTAAATGAAGAATAGAGTTAATGATATGTCATACTTGGTTCAATGCATCATAACTAAAACACGCGCGCTGCATAATTGATTGGATCCATCCAACCTTAAGAGACAACCAATGACGGAAATTTAACATTTAAAGCTTCAAAGTTCAGTTGTGGAAAAGATCTTTGTTTTAACTGCTTTGAATAGTCAGAAAACAAACTTGGCAAGACATTATCTCCAGAAAAATTGAAACAGCTTAGATGAAAAATCAAAACAGAGGTCATACAGATAACAGAAATGAAAAGCATTACTGCAAATCCTCTTCTCTTCTCCGGCTGATCACATTCTGCTATTCTCTATCTTGTGGACCACAATGCATTATAGCCATTTTTTATAAATTTCTTTGCCCCAGTGAAAAAAATCCAACCCTGAAACACTGATTCATGATTATTAGCGTTGAAATCTTGAGTAATGCAAAATGGATAACTCAAAGCCTATATAATCTGCCATCGACCAATATATTACTAAGATTAATACTTTCACAAATCAAAAGCAGAGAGGATTTCTAAAGAAACCTGTTGCATGTCTGTATTTTAGCATATTGAAGTTCAATTTCGAACCTATATTTCAGAAATTTGAAAATAAATTCAAAAACCATGCTGCACATTAGAAATACAAAAATTGAATTAGGATGATCAATAATCACCTGTGGCTTGTGGGTTGCTGGTAGCTGCTGTCAAATTGATAATTCAATTTGGGCTTCCTTGCAGGTACGAGTACGACCATCAATTTGATGTGCTTCAGGAATAGGACATTTATGAATTATCATTGATATATCGAGTTGTCTTCTGGAAAAGGCCACCTGGTAGTGCATTTAACTTGGTCTGGCCTACACCGGGCAACCGGGAGCTCAGCCGCTCATGGTGGTGTCGATGGTGAAATGGTGCCGGTCATGGTGGAAAACGAATCACCGGCAGTTGGCGAAGGTGGTTTGTGGCCAAGGGAGGATTCCAGTGGTGGTTCCCGGCGGCCGGTGGCGAAACGATGACCCGAAGGAACCGGGAGGTCGCTCTCGAGCTGGGGAGTGAGGATCGGTAGCTGGGGAGGTGCAACATCACCGGAAAGTGAGCGAAAACTCGCCTGGAAGCCGAAGAGTCACAATATGTAAAGTGATGAAACTCGCCGGAGAATAGTCAAATCAGCTGCAAGAAAGCTCGGGGAAGGTGAAATGGCGCTAGGGGAAGATGACCCAACACTCGGGAAGCCGAACCTTCGCCGGAAAATGGAAGAAACTCGCCGAAAGATAAAAGGTCGCACGAAGGAAGCCCAAACGCCGCCGGATTCTGTTAGATCTACGGTGGAGATGACGGTGGAAGATGAACCGGCACAAGGGGAGGTCAAGGGTGACCGGAAATGGCCCGAACCCGGCGAACGGTGAGGGTTTCCCGGCTGCCCTCCTGGTTTTGCGTAGCTTCATTCATTTACGTAGAAAGAGAGAACTTTTGGTCCCTGCATGATTGAAAAGTGACAAAATAAGCCTCATAGAAGTATGCCAGTTTAACCCCTGAACAGCATAAAAGGGACAAATTCAGCCTTAATCAATAAACTACAACCTAATATGACTTAAACAATCTCAAAAATAATTCCAAATATACTAATAACAGTATTCCCAATAAAATTAAATAGTAAAATACCATTATTTTCAAAATATTATTCTATATTTTTCAATTTCTTTTAAACTCTCTTAAATTTGTTAATTTAACTAAACACTCCCAAATTTTTTTTTAGAAATTGTAAAAACACTTCAGTCACCCTCCGACAGTGGTGATCGACTGTCCGTATTTAATGGATGAGTTGGGGGTGTTTTTATTAACTTTTAATATTTTATTATAAGAGTGTTTAGTAAATAAACAAATATAAGAGATATTTTTGTTACTTTTTAAATTCTACATCGTAATACTTGCCCAATTTAATTTTTTTCAAAATATTATTTTAAAAACAATCAAAATAATGAACGAAAAGGACTCGTACATTTGTAAAAAAACATTAGAACGGGATTTCATGAATAAATTTATAAATTCATAAATTGTCTTAATATAATTCAATTAAATCACAACTAGGGTATTTTAATCACTTAAATAGTCATTTTCATGAGCCTAACAAGGTTGTAGAAATAGTGACACATATATTTAATAAATGACCTCATTGAAACAGAGAGCTATAGAAGAAATTCGAACCAGAGCTTTAAGAGGTAATAGAAATGGAAAAAATTATTGTAAATCTTCTTCTGTTCTCCAGCTGGCCACATTGTGTGCTGTCCCGTCTTTTAAGCCTGTTGGACTAATAAATTTGTGCCTCTGAATGAACATTGATTGAGTATTAATTAAAGAATGTGAAATCCAAGGATAAAAGACTATATGGAAACACAATCACCAATCACCTGGTTTCTAATATCAGACATGAGTAGCACCGGAAAAGTCATTGCATCTGTGAATACCAGATTTGGGTCAATTTTTTCCAAGCCTGCAGAAACAGTAAAAGATATTCAACAAATGAACTTCAAACTTAGCATTTTTAGTAAGTAATTTTTGAAAAAACAACAATAAATAAGCTGAAGTGATTGAACATTTAAAAAGAAATTGAAAAGATAAGTTTGTACTGTTGCTTCAGACAATAATATAACACATAATTTGATTTAAAAAAATGTTATCTGGTTCCTAGATTAGAAAAAAATAACAGAGCATGCTTAAGTAATTACCTGTGGCTAGTGGGTTGATGTTTATTGCTTCCCTTTGACCCATTCAATACCAATTTTCTATGGTAGGGATGTGAGAGATCTTGAACCATTCTTCTCCTGTTCCTTCTTTGTATCGTTCTTTTAGAATACGACATCCCCAAATCATCAATTTCTTAAGTGTTGTCCTCTGAAGAAGGCTATCTGGCAGTGCCTTTAATCTGTAGCAGGAACTGATATGCAAGGTAGCAAGACATGGCATGAATCTAATATGTTCTTCTTCTTCTCCCTTCTTTGTATTCTCGTAAGTCCACTCTTCCCATTCGTCTAATCCCCAAAATTTGAGTTGTTTCAATTTGGGGAAGAAAGCAGAGGATGAAGATGATGAAGAGGCTCCACTTTCAATCCCCCAAAATTCATTATCCATTTTTTTCACACTTTCCATCCAATATATAGATATTTCTTCGAGGGATGACAATTCTCTCAAAGGATGCAAATTCTTACAGTTTGGGCAAGACGTAATGCATAAACTCTTCAGCTTGGTTAATGACGTCTTCCATGTGGAGGGGAAAGTTCTGCCTGCGTATAAATAAATCGACAACCGCTCTAATTCTGGAGGTGGTTGTAAAGCTTCAAGGACTACTTCATAATCCTCACACGATTCCCCTTCTTCAAAAGTTTTCCAAGAGACATGATTCCTTCTCAAACTTTTCGTTCCCTTATCGAATTGCAGACCCAGACCAGTAAGGTTTTTCTTATTTTTGAGTGCTTCTTTCATTTTACCTTCACCCACATTTGTAACATTTCCCAACCCTCTTATTCTCAGGCTCCCTTCAAGATTATTCAAATTTTTAATTCCTTCAAGACTACATGCTCTGCTATCATAATCATTACCACCACTTATAACGAATTCCGATAATGTTTGGAGACCTGTTAATTTTTCAATCCCCTTTGGTATGTAAAGCAACGACCTTGTCATATTTTTTAAACACCTCAAATTTACTAATTTTTCTATCCCACCAGGTAATTCAGTTACCATACTCTCAGTAATATCTAAAGTGTGCAAATTACATAATTCACACAAATTTTCAGGTAATCTTGTGATAAATTGCCGATTAAAATCAAGATATCTCAAATGTCTTAATTTTTCTATCTCTTTTGGAATCTCCATAACTTCTTGATCAAAAAAATAAGTGGTGAACTTCAATGTCCTTAAACATGTTAATTCACATAACTTTGGAAAAACATCACTTGACAATGAATGGACATACTCAATCACAAGACTACGTAGACTTTTGACGCTACAAATGGACATGGGAAATGGAACCTCTTTATTAACCTTTAACATTAAATGACGAACATTTTTGTTAGAAGAGTTTATAAATAGATCATTATCACCAATATTGACTTCTATAGCAAGACATTCACCATCACTTAAAAATAGCGCAAAGTCATGCACTATATCATGCATCTTACATCTCCCCATAGCATCTCCAAAATGTGATGAAAATTCTTGGAAGAAAGATCGTGTTGCTAAGTGGTGAAAATACTCTTTGCCTATTGTCTCTAACTTTGTATCTTTTTCTATCCCCAAATAACCTTGTGCTATCCATAATTTAATTAATTCATCTTTTGTTATACGGTAATCTTTTGGAAAGATAGAACAATAAGAGAAACATTTTCTTATTGAGGATGGCAAATCGTTATAACTCAACATCAAAGGGGATAGAAGACCACTTTCAATCTCCTCTAATTTCCACATCTCACTACCTGAGACACGTTGCCATTCATCTCTATTCCTCTTAAACTGCAAAAGGCTCCCGATGGTTTTTGTAGCAAGAGGTAACCCCTTGCACTTCTTAACGATTTCCCTACCAATTTCTTCTAATTTTTCACTCTCATGAGTAGGTCTTTTAGAAAGAGCTAGGCTCCTAAATAGTAACCAATTCTCATCAAAGGACAATCCTTCAACGTTGATAATATCAATTGATTTCATAATATATGCAACTGACTCTTTACGTGTGGTAATTAAAATTTTACTTCCATGGAGACCGTTCTTCAAACAATGAAAGAACGGTTCCCATTTTTTGTGATCTTCATTCCATACATCATCTAAAATAAGAAGAAATTTATTACCCACAATAGAGTTATGAATACATTGAAGAAGAGATTGTAGATCTTCTACATTAGGAGTAGGAACTTTTAGAGCTTCAATGATCACTCTTGCGATCTTGAACTCATCAAAAAGATTTGATACACACACCCATATTATTGAATTAAAATGGCTCTTTACTTCATCATTATTGTAGGCAAATTGAGCAAGAGTTGTTTTTCCAATTCCTCCAATCCCTACAAGTGAGATGGTTTGGAGGCTTTGTTCACTACTCTCACACAATAACTTGCGTACTAAATTATTCTTCTCAATATCTCTACCACATATATCAGATACATCAATAAAAGAAGTAGTTTGCATTGGCGGATAATCAGGTCTCTCATTAGCTGGAATGACATTAAGATTATAACCACCTTTTTCTTTCGCAATAGCATCTAACTTTCTATTTATCTCTGTTATCCTAACTGCAATATCATGACGTAAAACAACTTCTTTGAAGCCAAAGCAAGGAGAGGGAAAAAGGCACCATACCTTCTTCTTAGGAGCAAGAGCATTATGAACATATCCTCCCTCAATTTTCAGTTTCATCATTTCAGTTTTCCACTCATCCAACACATCTTCCACGTCATAGCATGCGTCTTTGAGCCGATTCAACCAAACTCTCACAGCTTTATTCTTCATTTGTTTTTGGTCAGCATCAAGTAGCACAGCTTGAATGGCTTGAAGATTGTTCTTAAGCTTGTCTACTTCTTCTTCAACGTCTCCCACTAGCCTCACCTGTTCTCCTATGAAGCCAGCAGTTGGAAGTAGAATTGAATCCAGCAGCTCCAAGGCAACCGAAACAATTGCTTCAGCCATACTCAGATATGGTCAATAATCTGAAAGAGAAGAAATGGAGATATTTGTTTCGTATGCTTTTGTGTTATGATACTGAATGCTGCCATCCATCCTATCCTTATATATAATAACCTAAAGTTTATTACATGTGGCAGAAGCCAACCGCATTTAATTTTGAAATGTATTTTTCAATTTTATTATCATTCATTTTTCAATGGTATTGATATTACTAGTCTTAATAGTGACAGAAAGAAATCTTATTATTATGTATTTTGAAACAATTGCCCTCTCTTTTTTACATGTTGTCTTCTAATTGATAACTTTATAAATAGGTTTCTACTTTATTTTTATCCCTAATCTATTAACTATATTTAAAGGTTATCTTTTTCACTTTCTACTCAAATTTTCGGTAAAAATGAAGTTAATTAAGTATAACTAGAGGAACATAATTAATCAATTTTGCTAAAGTTCATTCACGATTCAATAGATACTACTGATTTTAGTTGTAAGAGTAATTCTACAAATTAAATTTTGTATATAAACTCAATTTGTATTGATTTATTTTACACAAAATCTTGCACTATTCTAAATTTAAAGCTGAAAAAAAAAAAAAAAAAAACTAATGGTATGCATGCATAAATCAAATTAATATTATAAATTATAATGTATTGACTAATGTCAATAAAGATAGTACCAAATTTTCTAGTAACTCTCTCTTTTTAATTTTTTTCTAAATAGCTCTGTCCCCCCATTCATTAAGCCAATGAACACCATTTTTCAGCTAGCCTTAGGCATGCCCACATTTGGTTTCTTTGAAATTAAGCATATAAAAGAAAAAAGATGTGTGACACTTGGACGTATGGTGGGATTAATTAATTAATTAATTAATAGGGCGAAGGAGTACCCCATTAATCAAAAAGTATGTAACAAAGTTGATGTGAATGGAATAACACTAACAATTAATTGCTATAAATAAACATGATTTGGGATATTTAGAAATTTTGTCCCTCAATTACGATGTGTATTGATTTGGGATATTTTGAAAATTTTTCTCCTATAAACGTGTGCATAGAAGACTTTTCTTTTCTCTATTACAAATACAATTTATTTATGAGTTGATTAAAACAACAATATGTGTTAAATTGATTTATAGAGACAAACTATGTTATTATGCAACATATTCTTTGATTTCGTTAATTTTGTCTAATTAATTAATTAATTGCAAAAAAGTTACCGACCTTACATACTTATATGATCTATTATTTTTGAAATTATGATGAAGATGGTTAAAATAGTAAAGAATTTTCCTTTTCCCTATTACAAATGCAGTTTAGTTATGAGCAGATTACAACAACTATATGTGTTAAATTGATTTATAGAGACAAATTGTGTTGTTTATCTTTCAAACACCCATGATTCACATAACTTTCCTTTCCTTTCCTTTCCTTTCATTCAAAATTATTTTTATCTTTCCTTTCCTTTTGATAAAAATTAAAAAAAATATATATACAGTATTAAGCTTAGTTTATCTTTCAAACACCCATGATTCACCGATGACCATAGAACACTTTTCCCCACTAGAGAACCAATTTATTATGAGCTGATTATAGCAACTCTATATGTTATAACAATTTAAAAAAAAAAAAAAAAAACTATACGGTATTAAGCTTAATTTATCTTTCAAACAGCCATGATTGACCAATGAGCTAGCGTTCTAAACCTCAGGGGTTTAAAAATTAATCCCAAAGCATATGGTAATTGCATAAATGATGGGATTAGTGAATTATTATATTAATTGTAATTAATCTGACAAAGGAGTACCCACCCAGTCATGTTTTTAAATTTAATAAAAGGAGTGAAGCTATTTATTTAAAAAAAAAAACCCGGATGAAGTCTGTATAAGGAATCTTGATATTTTAAGGTAGCAATAGGATATATATTTCTAGTAACGTGATTAGGACCTTAATTTAAACAATTAATAATTTGAATAATAAGTATATAAAATGTTTATATGTTAGAAGTATTATATGCTCAAGACAGCAAGGTGGTGGTGCACAATTTGAAATAAAAGATTTGGCTGTCGCAAGGAGGTGAATGACAGCCTTGTAACAGCTCGAGTATTATTCGGAAAAATATGGTTAAATTATTGATTTATCATAACTCATAAATAGTTAGATTCCACGTAGCGGGTCTTCTATTTTATGTTAGTGATCCAGGGACATTATTTGACCAGTCCTACATCGATTTAGTAAAAATCAATAAATAATTATGCAAGTGGCCAAATGACTCCGCACTTAATCTTCCCACCTCACATGCCAAGCACTGCAGTGAGGAACATTATTTGACCAGCCCTACATTGGTTTAGTAAAAATCACTAAATTAATTAATGTACCTTGTAGTATTTTAATTAGGCATCTCGTACTTTCCAAGAAATATACAATGAGCGACAATGTCCCACCCAAGGTTTACATAATTACATTTTCCCACCTATAAACGAGGGGTGTTCAAAAAAACCAATTAGAACCGGAATCAGTGGATACCCAGTATTTAGTTCTGGTTTCTACCCAGAATCGGCCGCCAATGGGCAGGTTCTGGTTCCAAATTTTTGGAACCGTTATTGTGCGGTTTCGGTTCCTATAGTTAGGAACCGAAATCGGAAACCGAGACTAATATAAAAAAGTCGGGTTGTTAATTAAAACCTTTCTAGAAAAAGTAATGTGAATATATTTAATTTTATAACATTTAAAGTAAGTTAGTTTGACTTTTGAAAATCTACCTTTACAAAGTAATGGACTTTGTAATTTTGAATTTATAACTTGTAATTTTATTTTTTGTTAACCAAGGGGGGGGGGGGGGGGGGGGGGGGCATTGTAAATTTTTAAGGGTTTTTGCCATTTTAAAAACTTTTGGGGGTAATATAATTTTACAGGGTACCCAAAACTGGAACCGTTGTTACAAGTTTTGGTTTGGATACCTAGGAATGAAAGTTTGAAATTTTTAAGGGTTTTTTGCCATTTTAAAAACTTTTGGGGGTAATATAATTTTACAGGGTACCCAAAACTGGAACCGTTGTTACAAGTTTTGGTTCTGGATACCTAGGAACTGGAACCGTTGTAAATTTTTAAGGGTTTTTTGCCATTTTAAAAACTTTTGGGGGTAATGTAATTTTACAGGGTACCCAAAACTGGAACCGTTGTTACAAGTTTTGGTTCTAGATACCTAGGAACTGGAATCGTCGGTTCCGATTCTAGTTTCAAATTTCAAGGAACCGTCAATTACAGTTTCTTCAAAAAATACAAGGTACTTGAAATCGAATACCCTTACTATAAACTTCAAAAAAATCAATTTTCTACACATCGTCAATCTTTATCGATGGAATCTGTTACTTGACATGTGATTTGATTTAATAACATGTGAAGGTGCTTATATTGGTGTTCTCTGCGATATGATGTGGATTTTGTGGGGTTTGTTTATTGGTTTTTTCAAATTTTATGGGTGGGAAAAGTAATTTTGCCATTTTATGTTGTAAATTTTTAAGGGTTTTTGCCATTTTAAAAACTTTTGAGGGTAATGTAATTTTACAGGGTACCCAAAACTGGAACCGTTGTTACAAGTTTTGGTTCTGGGTACCTAGGAACTGGAACCGTCGGTTCTGATTCCAGTTTCAAATTTCTAGGAACCGTCGATTACGGTTTCTTCAAAAAATACAAGGTACTTGAAACCGAATACCCCTACTATAAACTTTAAAAAAATCAATTTTCTACACATCGTCAATCTTTATCGATGGAATCTGTTACCTGACATGTGATTTGATTTAATAACATGTGAAGGTGCTTATATTGGTGTTCTCTGCGATATGGTGTTGATTTTGTGGGGTTTGTTTATTGGTTTTTTCAAATTTTTTGGGTGGGAAAAGTAATTTCGACAAAAATTCAGTGGGAACATGTCATTTACTCTTATATAAATTGTCTACGCATGTGGCCAAATGAGCCAGCAGACTCAGCACTAATCTTCCCACCTCACATGCCAAGCACTGCAGTGAGGGACATTATTTGATCTGTATTACATCGGTTTATCAAAAATCACTAAATAAATTAATGTTATGTTGTAGTATTTTAAGACTGTATCTCGTAATTTCCGAGAAACTTAAATGAAGGACAATTTCTCACCCAAGGTTTGCCATAATTGCATTTTCCCACTTATAAACTTTGAAAATAACCAATTTTCCATACACCGTCAATCTTTACAATAATGCTACATTTACAGATTACATTCCCGATTATACATCCTGACTGACGTGGCAGATGAGATGTCACGTCAGCTTATCACCACGCCATAACACCAAAAAAAAAAAAAAAAAAAACAGAAAAAAGTCAATTGAAAGTGATTTGCACGATTGGAAGACGCCCAAATTCAAAATTGTCTCCCAAAATTCATTTTTCACAGATTTTCTCCTAAATCAAATCTCACTCATTCCCCTAAATCAAATCTCTCCCAAAATTGAAATTTCTCTCCCACCACTACTAGCACCGCGGGCTATCGTCTTCCACCACCACTTGCAGTAGTCATTCGCGCGATGCCCAGGTATCAGCAACTAATTTTTAGAGACAATCGCATGGCACCACCCAATTCCGTCTAAGCAATTCCAAAATTACTCCAATCAAAATCCCAATCGCAATTACCGCGCAAAAATCCTAGGTGATGCCGCGGTGATCAGAGAACAATCTCGGCCGAGGATGTTGGCGGTTTTGTAGAGGGGAGGCCGGTGAAGCTTGGAGTGGCGGCAAGTTGGATTCTGAAGGTCGGCATCGACCGGAATCCGGCCTGAAGGGGTGATCGCGCGAACAGCAGATGCCCATGATTAATTTTTTTTACTTTTATTTTCTATCCTGATTATTTTTTGTTCTGGTGTACAGTCAATTCTTACCATGATTGTTCTAGCTCTTGGTGTAATTTATTTCCAGCCGTAGAAATTTTTTCCGCATTTACCATTGTCGGGCTCTGGTAGTCTATAAATTTCAACGCCAGACTCCCTACTTTTGCATTCCTTTTTCGTTCTTCCTTGTGTTGTGTTGTCTCTGTATTTCGTTTAGGTGCTTTATTTCTCTTCTTCTTGTTCATTATTCTGTTTATTTTTAGTTCTGAATATTAGGTCTTACGTATTCTTTACAAAGTTTCTGTTTTTTATTTCATCTGGTCAATGTTTTGATGACAAACCAGTACTCTGTTTCTTTACACTAACATAGTTCTGGATCTTATTGCAATTGCTAGTGATCTTGTTGTAGATTTTTTAAAACTTCTTGGAATAAAAAAAATCAGCTTCAGATTCTGTTGCTAGTCNGAAGGTGCTTATATTGGTGTTCTCTGCGATATGGTGTTGATTTTGTGGGGTTTGTTTATTGGTTTTTTCAAATTTTATGGGTGGGAAAAGTAATTTCGACAAAAATTCAGTGGGATCATGTCATTTACTCAGTGGGGGACGTTATTTGACCAGTCCTACATCCATTTAATAAAAATCACTAAATAATTAATATAAATTGTCCATGCATGTGGCCAAATGAGTCAGCACTAATCTTCCCACCTCACATGTCAAGCACTGCAGTGAGGGACATTATTTGATCTGCCCTACATCGGTTTATCAAAAATCACTAAACTTTCCATGTTTGCCATAATTGCCTTTTCCCACTTATAAACTTTGTAAATAACCAATTTTCCATACCCGTCAATCTTTATCATTACCTGACAGAGGTCAAAGTCACGAAAAAACTATATTTTATGTATTTATAGTTTAAACATTAACCCTATAATATCTAGTAAAAATGCTATATCACCAAAAAATTACACCGAAACACATGAAGACAGTCACGTTGGACGATTGAATACTGACATAAATGAACGGACGTCCAATATTTTTAGACGACCATTCATACATCCCGAACGGTCGTTCATAGTATTATGGACATTCGTCCATAAAAAGTTGTGTTGTTTAAAAAAAAAAAAACAATGGACTGACGTCCAACAATCCAACAATTTGTTGGACGTCAGTCCATCATAGTTTGGACGGTCGTCCATCATATAGCAGTGAATATATATTCAAACTATCATCAATTAATATGCTCAATCATCACTGTCATCATAGCATGATAGCAAAATATATTTACTTTAGAAATGCTATCACTGTAACAAATGCAGATATTTCAACCAAATGAATAACAATACGAATAATATTAGATATATAAATTTTTTGTACATATTTCTTATACAATTTTTACAAATTGATGTATCACAAAGTGAATATATGAATTTGTATATAAAATTAATTCAATAAATACTAATTTAAAAAAAAATAATGTGATAATAAAATAGTTTTACCACATCAATTTATATGCAAAAATTTGTATAATGTGTGGACGGGCATCCTAGATTTTTTTTAAATTTTTATATTTTAAAAAAAGGACGGGCGTCTCTTATTTGTGGACACCCGTCCAAAATTAACGAACGGGCGTCCATTAACTTATGAACGGTCGTCCCTAATTTTTTTTAATATTTTTTATTTGATTTACCAATTGACATGCGTCCTTTAAATGAGGACGCCCATCCGTTGGTAAATGGACTTCCGTTCATAATATATGGTCGGCCGTTCATTAGAAAAAATTATTAACGTAAAACGCGTTGAATAGTTTGAGTCAGAAGACACGTAAGTCGATACAAAATTTCGGTGTAAAAACACCGGTGTCTGTAGCATTGTTGAATATCTAGTGTATGAATTGAAAGGAATGCTCTTTTGCTGTTTAAACTTTAAACCAATGTCTAAATTTAAACAATGGGTGGGAAAATGTTTTATGTATAATGGCTTGCATTTTATTGCTCTCAAACATGTCAATTCACATAGCTTTCCTTTCCTTTTATTCAAAATTATTTTGTCCCCCACTCTATTAACTTTAGAATAAAACTATGTGCACTAATCAATATGTACTAATTCAAGTACTAATATTGGAAATTTGAAATTTTCTCCAAAAAAAAATTTAAATTTTCAATATTAGTACTTGGATTAGTACAAATTGGTTAATACAAATAGTATTACTCTTAATTTAAGTCAATGACTAATACATTTTCACATGGCTTCTGGCCCACCTTCTCTTCTTTCAAAACTATTTTGTCCCTTAATTACGATGTGCATTGCTTTGGGATATTTAGAAATTTTTTCTCCTATGAGCATGTGCATAGAAGACTTTTCTTTTCCCTATTACAAATGCAGTTTATTTATGAGTTGATTACAATAACTATATGTGTTAAACTGATTTATAGAGACAAACTTCTTAACCTGATAAAAGTACTAAAAAAATTAGCTAATTTTCTCATCAAAATCTTTAAAAAAAAAAAAAAATGAGGTGCTACATGTACAAACTAAATATATAAATTAATGAGGGTAACCTTCTACCACGTGCCAATCAAAATTTTCTTTTTCTTTTTTATATATTTTCAATAGCAATAAAAAAAAAAAATTATATAGTATTAAGCTTAGTTTATCTTTCAAACACCCATGATTCACCAATGAGCTAGTGTTTTAAAATCATTATATCATTTTCTCCCCATGTGGGATCATATACGTGTCAATCTTATTCTTATCCATGATCAATGGTACTGATATTAAATTTAATTATTATGTCAACAATATAATTTCCTATAATTTTCAAGTGATGGAAAATAAAAGAATATCTTTGTTAAGTTATCATCTCATCTAAAAGTTTAAGCTAATAGGTAAGGGTTTCAACATATATTAGATCAATAGGCCTTTTCACATCAAACTTGAATTTTTCTTTAGTTTTCTTTATCTAGTTTGTATGTGGGGATTCGAATTTCAGACCTTTGGTCCTGATATCATATTAAGTTGTCATCCCATCTTAAAGCTTTAAGATTTTTTTTTCACACCCCATACTCTATATTAGTAAATTTATCATTAATGATTGAGAAGATAAACCTCATACACCCCATCCATCTCGTTGGATAGCAATAATTCTAAGAAAAAAAAAAAAAAAAGAAGCAAATTAATGGTCCAGCACTGTCTTCCCACAGCTTGCTCACAGGAAATAAATTGTGTAATTGGCTATAGTTCATTAATGCTATGAAAATAGTATGTACTGCACTGATATTTATATATTTTACATGACTTTGGGCCTACCTTTCCTTTCTTTCAAAATTGGGATACTACACTTACAAACAATTTTCATCAACTTTCTCTTACAAACACGATGTGTCAGCTCGTAATGGATCTTGTTTGCACAACAATGGGTTTTTTTGACTAAATACGAGCTAACTAATTGCGAGTTTTTACGTCGCGTTTGTAAAAAGTGTTTGTCAATCTATCTTTATTCTTCAAAATTGTTTTATCCTCCACTCAATTAACTTTAAGCCGAGGACTAATATATTTCACATGGCTTTTGGGCCTACCTTCCTTTCTTTCAAAACAATTTTGTCCCTTAATTATGATGTGTATTGATTTGGGATATGTAGAATTTTTTTTTGTTTTCATACGAATGTGTGTATAGAACACTTTTCCCTATTACAGAAACAGTTTATTTAAGAGCTGATTACAACAACTCAGTGTTCAACTAATTTATAGAGGCAAATTGTGTTGTTATATAACATATTCTTTGTTTTCATTAATTTTTGTCTAATTAATTAATTGATTGTAAAAAAATATACAACCCCTATGTACTTGTTTGATCTATCATTTCTGAAATAATGATGAGAATGGTCAAAACTCCCTTAAGCTGCATAATTGAGTTTCAGGAAGATGCTCTGTTTTAAATGCTTTTCAGTAGTCTGCAAATGTTTTCCACCTCAACTGTTAAAGCTGAGAGACAAACAATAACGCATTACAAACCATATTGACCATCAGACAATTGAAGAAAAAGAAAATGGATCCAACAAACAACTCATTAAAACTTGAAAACGGTATTACTTATGATCTTGCTTCAATGTTCAGGCACTTCGAAATGGTGAAGGATATTGTTTAGTCGAACATGAAACTCGAGACTCCATTGCAAGCTTTGTTTTCAGGGGAAAGCCAAGGGTTGTAATGTTGTTCTTGGAGACTTAATTCATGGTTAGCTACAAAACTTAACAATGAAAACGGAAGATCATTTTTCAGGCATCTTGATGTGGTGAAGCCTATGCTGATTCTGTACTCTTCGTTGATTGACTTTGAAGAAGATGGATCTAATTTAATTGCTCCACAAGTTGCCACAGAAATGGGAGACACAGATAATATCCACAGTTTATTCCTAATCTGGAACAAATGATGGAGCTGATGAATGTTTTTTGTCTCACTCATTTCAGCTGGCATGATGCAGACACTGTTCAGACGTTCTTTGTAGCAACCATGTCTAAAACGAAACAATAATATATGCATTGAACAATGCTTATTATCAATGACAAGTTAATTTTTCGAGAAAAACAGACAACAAAAAGGATATAGAATTATTGATCTGATGGAAGCTCACCAAGCAAATGTGAAAACCAGATACTGGACACTTGTTTCATCTCGCACATTTTCATTTTGTTCCTAGAATCTGTGACCTTATATATATTTCCTCTCTTGATCAGTAACAGATATTTAGATTACACACATAATCAGCTTTTGCAGCAAATCAATTCTGCATATTAAGAAAAAACAACATAGCCAGTCAAAATTTTCTGTGAAATATATGCTTTTAATGAGAATAACTAACCAATTTGATCTTTTGGGAACATACAATTTGATTCCCTTTCCTAGTCATTTAGATTGACTTCTTCTTCTCTCGTCTATTGTAGGGCAAGAAACTGCAGTGAGACAAGAAAGAAATATTTGTTTAGGTTCTGATTATTCAAAATTTTCAATCCTTCAAGAGTACATGCTTAACTATCATCATTACCACTTAATTTCTGAATCTCTTTTGGAATGTAACTTAGTGATACAGAGGCATTTAATAAATGCCTCAAATTAACTCATTTTTCCTTTCCATGAGGCAATTCCTGTAGCATACAACCACTAAAGTGTGCAACACACAAACTTACAGGTAACTTTCCCCAGAATTTCTTCGTACTAGCCTTGTTAGCATGACTGATAAATTGATTCTGCATTTTTAAGGAAAAAATAAGAACTTGTCACACAATGGAATGATTTGGTTTCAAATAACCATCAATAAATGAAGAAAAACACAGAGCATTGAGAGAAAGTATCATATAAGTTATACAACTAACCTTTTGAGTCCAATGACCAATTCTAGGAAATTTTTTCCATGTATATATGGGACCCAAATTAATCTTATTCAAGAATGTAGGGTGTATATATATCATAATTTAATTGTTATATATATATATATATAACAATTAAATCATGATCTATATGCACCCTATATATATGCATTGACTTAAGTCAGTTTTAATTAATTCTATAATTTTATAATCTCTATAGAGTATTGATGGGCCGTAAAGCAATCAAAAACCAAAAATAGGCCTTCTAAAATAAAAATATCATATTGTCAAAAGCAGGCACACAATCATATAAATTAAACATGAATAAATTAAATAAAGAAATATAGAGAGCTATAATGAGAAAGTATAACTAACCATTACTGTCCAATGGCTTAATTAATCATATACCCTTCAATAAATATTTTCTTTCATATTGAAAGTTTATTAACAAAAATGCATAATTGCATTTAAAACTACATCAGGTAATTAACTTATGGCCTCGAAGGATTTTACAGACAGAAATTAGGGAAAATTGAGAAGCTCCCTTAAGCTACATATTTGAGTTAAGGGAAAATGCTCTCTTCTAATTTGGTGCTTTTGAATGTTAAAACCTGATAGAAAATTATGTATCTTTTCCAGTGTAATCAATTGTGCACCATAGAGAAACAACAAAAATATTTATATGATCCTTTGGGATGAAGTCTCTCGTCCTATAATTAGTCAGGAAGCACATTTGAAATGATACAAAACATTTATAATACACAAAATCTAGTGTACCGAAATAATATGCTGCATTAACTAATTGTTTTAGCTTAACCGAGGACTATCTTGATCATCAGAGAATTGAATACAAAGGATCATCCAAGGCTTTTAGAGGCAATTGCCAGCAAATTTAATTGATTATCACTGAAATACACTATTACTTACAATCTCACTTCAAATGGTGAAGGATATGGTTGAGTTGCATCCTGACATGATTGGAACACAAGAAGCTCCAAATTCCATTGCATGAATGAAAGCTTGTCGTCAAGGGAAAGCCAAGGGTTGTAATTCTGCTCTTTGAGACTAATCCATGGTTAAACTTGAAGATGAATGTGCATATTACATAGCCTGCGGACAAGGGCATCTTATTTGATGGATCAAATTAATGACGGAGCTGATGAATGTTTTTTGTTGATGCAGAAACAGTTCAGAACACATTAGAGTTGTGTCCGAATTCTCCTAAAAGAGAAAATAAAAATGGATTTGATCCATTGTGCAGGTTGTATCACAGGATATTCTTGGAGATAACAAGATTGATTTTCAGGGTTGACCAAGACCATGCTCTGCAATACAATTACAAATTGCACTGAAGATTTATTGTTGAATTCTCCTGCATCCTTTCAGTACCTGAAAAAAGAGGGGGTAACAGTGTGTCATCTTGCTGTAAAATTCAACCAATATGATACAAATTGTGACATTAAGAAGCAAATATGACTTACAGGATTAAAGTTGACAGTAATGGAGAAAACTCTGAATAACTAATGAATCCTTTCGCTAGTCACAACTCCTTTTTAGCAACCTTGACTAAAAAGCAATAATATCTGCATAGAACAATGCCTATTATCGATAAAAACTTAATTCTTCAAGACAGACAAGAGCAAGAAGGAAATGCAAACGTATAGAAGCTCACCAAGCAAATGTGGAAACAAAACATTAGGCACTTGTTTCATCTGAAATATTTTCTGTTTGTTGCAAGAGAAATTGGTTCTTCGTAGTTCTGTCCTTAGGTATATTTTATCTGCTGATAAGTAACAAAGCTTTATATTCTCAGCATAATTAGCATTAATAGCAAATCAATTCTGCATATAAAGAAAAAACAAATATGAGCAGCCAATATTTTCTGTGACATAATTTTTTATTGGACATATGTAAATGAAGAAAGTATAGAAAGGACTTACCAAGGATAATAGCCAATTTGATCTTTGGAACAGATTCAGTTTGATTGCTTTTCTCAACTGCCAGAAACCATTCTCCATTTGTAAGTAGCATCATTTAACTGAACTTATTTAAATGAAGAATAGAGTTAATGATATGTCATACTTGGTTCACTGCATCAAAACTAAAACACGCGCGCTGCATAATTGATCAGATCCATCCAACCTTAAGAGACAACCAATGACGGAAATTTAACATTTAAAGCTTCAAAGTTCAGTTATGGAAGAGTTCTTTGTTTTAACTGCTTTGAATAGTCAGAAAACAAACTTGAAAAGACATTATCTCCAGAAAAATTGAAACAGCTCAGATGAAACATCAAAACATAGGTCATACAGATAACAGAAATAAAAGCATTACTGCAAATCCTCCTCTCTTCTCCAGCTGATCACATTCTGCTATTCTCTATCTTGTGGACCACAATGCATCATAGCCATTTTTTATAAATTTCTTTGCCCAGTGAAAAAAATCCAACCCTGAAACACTGATTCATGATTATTAGCGTTGAAATATTGAGTAATGCAAAATGGATAACTCAAAGACTATATAATCTGACATTGACCAATATATTACCAAGATAAATACTTTCACAAATCAAAAGCAGAGAGGATTTCTAAAGAAACCTGTTGCATGTCTGTATTTTAGCATATTGAAGTTCAATTTCGAATCTATATTTCAGAAATTTGAAAATAAATTCAAAAACCATGCTGCACATTTGAGACAATAGCACCATATACAACTTGATACTAAATGTGATCTAGTTCTAGATTAGAAATACAAAAATTGAAATAGGATGATCAATAATCATCTGTGGCTTGCGGGTTGCTGGTAGCTGCTGTCAAATTGATAATTCAATTTGGGCTTCCTTGCAGGTACGAGTACGACCATCAATTTGATGTGCTTCAGGAATAGGACATTTATGAATTATCACTGATATATCGAGTTTTGTCTTCTGCAAAAGGCCACCTGGTAGTGCATTTAACTTGGTCTGGCCTACACCGTAACGGGCAACCGGGAGCTCGCAACCGGGAGCTCAGCCGCTCATGGTGGTGTCGACGGTGAAATGGTGCTGGTCATGGTGGAAAACGAATCACCGGCAGCTGGAGAAGGTGGTTTGTGGCCAAGGCAGGCTTCCAGTGGTGGTTCTCGGCGGCCGGTGGCGAAACGATGACCCGAAGGTACCGGGAGGTCGCTCTCGAGCTGGTGAGTGAGTATCGGTAGCTGGGGAGCTGCAACGTCGCCGAAAAATGAGCAAAAACTCGCCTGGAAGCCGAAGAGTCACAATATGTAAAGTGATGAAACTCGCCGGAGAACAGTCAAATAGGCGGCAAGGAAGCTCGGGGAAGGTGAAATGGCGCTAAGGGAAGATGACCCAACACTCGGGAAGTTGAACCCTTGCCGGAAAATGGAAAAAACTCGCCGGAAGATGAAAGGTCGCACGAAGGAAGCCCAAACATCGCCGGATTCCGTTAGATCTACGGTGGAAGATGAACCGGCACCAGGGGATGTCAAGGGTGGCCGGAAATGGCCGGAGTCCGGCGAACGGTGAGGGTTTCCCGGCTGCCCTCCTGGTTTTGCGCAACTTCATTTGTTTATGTAGAAACATAGGGGAAATGTCGGTCCCTGCACGACTGACAAGTGACAAAATAAACCTCATAGAAATATGACAGTTTAACCCCTAAACAGTATAAAAGGACAAATTCAGCCTTAATCAATAAACCATACCCATTATCGACTTAAACAATCTCAAAAATCATTCCAAACATACAACATTTGTAAAAAAACATTAGAATGTGGTTTCATGAATAAATTTATAAATTCATAAATTATTTCAATATAATTCAATTAAATCACAATTAGGGTATTTTAATAACTTGAATAGAGTCATTTTCATGACTCTTAACAAGACTGTAAAAATAGTGACACATATATTCAATAAATAACCTCATTGAACTTTAATTTCGAAATTGTTAGTGAACTTGTAGCAGAATTAATCATACCCACCAAACTTAATACATATGGATTTGGGTCAATTTTTTCCAAGCCTGCAGAAACAGTAAAAAAAATATTCAACAAATGAACTTCAAAATTAACATTTTTAGTAAGTAATTTTTGAAAAAATAACAATAAATAAGCTGAAGTGATTGAACATTTAAAAAGAAATTGAAAAGATAAGTTTGTACTGTTGCTTCAGACAATAATATAACACATAATTTGATTTTAAAAAATGTTATCTGGTTCTTAGATTAGAATACAAATAGCAGAGCATACTTAAGTAATTACCTGTGGCTAGTGGGTTGCTGGCAGCTGCTGTCCAATTGATAATTCAGTTTGTTGCTGGCACCAAAACAAAAATATGTGTGTTAAGTTTCCTTAATAAGAAAAAGAAAAGTATTTTAATATCCATATAAGCATATGCAAACCTCAATGAGCCATAAAAGGATTTTACGGAGTGAATTTCAAGCAAATGGATAAGCTCCTTATAATGACGGATCCAGGAATTTCACTCGATGGGGGCAAAAAATAAATAAAAAAATTTGTGGGGGCAAAATGTCAAAGTCTTATAGGGGGT